CGTGAGAGTTCTATTGGATTCGGGATTCTGCTTGAAACGAGCCTCCTGTATGTCTTTCTCCGTATCCAACCACCGTGTGTGTTTCGCTCTTGTGGGATTGTATCTTCGAGTACGTGCCAGCAATATCCAGATTTCGGACAAAATGCCCTGGAAGGGTCTTGACCCTCTGAATCTCTGAACGGTGTGTTGGTCTTAAGAGGCTTGTTCTCAGGGACCTCTTGCGCTTAGGAGGTGACCAAAGAGTCAGAAGCCTGAGCCCCTTTGTTTCCCCATCTTTCCCGCCACGCCAGGATGTTTTCATGCATCTTGAGATGCGGCGATTCTTTTTCCGCTGAGAGCGGGACCCCGTCGGCTCTTCGGACGAATGTTTTCGAGTTGGCAGGCAGCGCTGTGGAGGAAATCTTGCACTCGTTTTCAGACATACAAGTTTTTCGCCAACCTTGCATTTCCTTTTTTAGCATTGGGCTGTAGAGTCGATGAGACGGAATTTGTTTCAATGACAGAGATCTTGCGCTGCCTCGTACAAATCACGTGGCAATGCCAAGAACAGGGATGTGATGTGCTAGGCAGAATGAACTGACAAGTGTTCGCTAGCCGGTGCAAGCTTTCCTCCATCCGCCATGCGTGCACGGGCGCGCCTGTTGCAGGAGCCCAAAGACAAAGGGTCACTTAGAGAACTTGCCTAAACCCGAAGCCCCAAGCCTTTAGTGTTGCACGTGTTCGTCCCGCACAGGCTTTACTTAACTCATGTGAGTCCTAGATATCTAGCTCGACATGCAGCGTCGATCCCCCGTAAAAGGGGTCGCAAGGCAAGGGAAATGTCCAAGGAGTCGGGCACCAAACTTGCCAGCCCATTGGGGGGGAGCTTATGTGTCAGATGTTTGGTTCCCGGCTTGGGAGTGAATTCGACGCAGGAGCCCTGCCCCATGAGGCCATGAGAGCCTCAAAAGCCTTGCGAGGCTGCAGGGCTTGGCAACCTCCTGCTGAGACTCTGAACTCTGTCGCCACATTCTTGAGATGATCCCTAGGCCCCAAGCCATAAATCCTAAAATCGACTTGAGGGTTTTTAGGGTTTCAGGGCCTGAAGGGTTTTCCAGTGAGAAAAAGGGCTTCCTTACTTTAGACATTTTGATCTAGCGCATGACTTACAACACCCTGAACCCGAAATCATCCTCGACCCTGGGCCCCCTCTAACCGTGCTTAGAAAGTGGAAGAGAGTTGAAAGTGTCCGAACGACGTTGCAAATGCCGTCGGAGGCTCGAACGCTCTTTTCCGCCGCCCTCCTCATTCCTCAACACACAGGCCTGCACACAAGGCTAAGCCCAAGCCCGAAACCCTAAGTTTCCACTCGGACCATTCCAATTCTCAGTCAGTGGTCAGATGCCGAAGATAGCCGAATACTGTACTCCATGCATCTCTGTACTGGTTGGCTCCACGCACCTGATTCGCCCGGAGAAGCACGGCCACACCCCAAGATTCTCCCCATGATGCCTATATTCCTCATGCCTCCAGCCCTAAACCCCAAAATCCCTCTGACAGCTATTGCTGGTCGGGACCCAGATCCCAACAAGCTGTTGTGAGGAATGAAGGGACCATAAGGGACCATCCTGTGTAGGCAGCTCCCTTGACTTCCTCTCCAATTAACCCGCAGCACGTCAGGCGAAGCAAAACTACTGAACTATGTGGGCTGGTGTTGAAGACATTTCGGAGGACGCTGATGGCGTGATTGGCCATAAAAGATTTATAAAATTCGCGCAAGGTTTTCGTGTTTAGATGCGTGAACTGAGCACGGCCGGAGCTCGCAACCGAAAGCCCCTGGCCTGACTAAGAGCAGTCCGAGTTGTGAGCGCCGTGGACTCAGGATTGGCGCGACCTCCATTTTCAGACTGCGGCCCGCAGCAGAGGAAACAAAACGGCACACCGACATGCATGCAGCAGGTCAGCAGGTGGAGAACTCTGAACTTTTGAGAGTGTTAGGGTGCTGGGCTTGCGCTTCGAGATTACGTCAATATTATACCGTGCATGGGAAACATCATGGGATCCAGGCTGCCGCCGCCCTAACCAGCCCCTCATCACAGCATGGTCTCGGAGCCTCACCCCTCACCCCGACCGTTCTTCAGGTTCTAATAAGGGTTTTGACGCTGTCTGAGATTTGGGGTTTCTGTTCAGGTTCCCTGTGTTGACGTTGGAATCTGGGATCGGCTTTGTGCCCACACCCGAAGCACCAAAGTTCCAAAGTTGTAAGCCCGAAAATCCTGAAGCGAATGCCTGAACCCTCTAACTCCCTGAAGGGTTTAGGGTTTAGGGTGTAGGCTTTCGGGGATTCTCAGTCACAGGCTCCCTCCTCAAGCCAAAGCATAGGCTCTCAAAAGCCCACCTTGCTCAGGCCTGAGCCTCGAAAGCCCCAAAAGCTCTAAAACCCTCCATCCCCAAACCCAATATGTGTAACCCCCATCCCACTGAATTCCCCAACAGCAAACCGTCTTGCACCCCAAAGCCGAAGTTCCTAGATGCCTAAACCCTATGGTTTGCTGAGGCGACCACGGAAGAGCCCCTCAGCAACCACTTCGCCCTTGCGGCCCGGCTTTCGAGAGGGAAGGGAGGGCTTCCAGGCTCTCAGAGGTTCCTTGTACCAGAAGAATCGTAATCGAGCGGTTTCGGGGTGTGTCTGGCACCACCCCCCCCCCCCCCCCTCCAAAAAAAAAAAGAACAGAGCAAAAACAAAACCCTCAATCCGGAATAGTAGCTCAGAGGAGCTGACCCTCTGAGTCAAGGCGGGGAAAAGTTGTTTGGGAGGGGGTGGGGTCAAGGTTGTTTGGGGGTTGGGCCTTGAACCGTAGTAAGTTTATCGTGCATTTAATTCCCGAGCCCGTTTCCTCAAGCTGCAAATGCTTGTGGCCATGGGGGTTATTCCGGGCCGCTGTATTGTCTTCGACAAAATTTTCGCATTATTGCAAACCATAGTGCGAATCGGAACTTGACACTGCATAACTAAGCCTCCCAAACCCTTTGAAGCCAAGGAGAGGCGGGTTGAACAGCTCCTGCGCAGCTGGGCGCCCGAAGTCTGACGCGGCAGCCCAGCACCCTCGAAACCGCTTTGAAGCCCGCGGAATCCGGAGAAGTGTCGGGCTGTAGGCTTCAGAGGTTTCTGCTGGCAGCAGGATCTCAAGATCAGGGTCTCAACTGCAGGCTCAGAAGAGGCAAAGCCGTGGAGTCTTTTCAGATGTGGGGCCAAGGGCACTTCAACGGAAGGCCCCGACTAATCGCCTGGCGCAAAAAAAGGAAGGGCCTCTGCAAGAGCTAGTTAGCCCCCTAGTCCTCAACAAGGCCCTTTAACGTCCCGCAAGACTATTTCTCTTGAAGTGTGGAGAGGAGCTTTCTGCCCGGAAGCGCCAAGCCGAGCTTCGAGTGGCCGAGCTGCGCAGCGAGGTGCGAGTCGGAGTATTTCGGATTTTGGGGTTCTGGGTGATATGGGTGATATGAGAGGCCCTTTGTTGGGTTTAGAGGAACCACATGCGAAGGATCCGACATGTTTGATCCACCCGCGTTTTGATTTAGAATTTCGGGTCTCAGGGCTTAGGGTGTGAGCATACGTTCGTCTCGGGCTGGCTACCTATACTGCTTTCATTGCTCTCACTCTGCGTCCAGCGGCTTTCTGCTGCCAAGGATTCAGGCATGGGATTGGAATCGGAGGTTCAAGCTAAACCTTAGCGGGCGCAGCAAGGACTGCTCCAAAGAGCCCAACCTCGCTGAAGAAGCATGCCAGCTGACAAGGAGTGCAGGTACATGAAGGAAACTGCCAGGAAGCCCCAAACCACCAAACGGCCGATCAACATCCCGCCCCGAAACCGTGCTGCCGCACACCCAGCAATGTGAAATCGCACGGGGTTTATTCCTTTCCTTTTGCTTAGTTGATGTGTTGTGCAAGTTGGCCGCCTGCCAAAACCCAAAGCCTCACCCACACAGCCCCGACAGCCCTGGAGTTGCTGTAGCCCTGACTCCGCCCCCGCAAAAACCCCAAACCTCAAGGCCCCAAACTTCAAGCCCCTGCATCCCCTGCCCTCCAAGTTCACGTTCGCCTCTGGAGGGCTTCACGGACCCCGAGGTGCCCCCTCCCCCAACCCAGAACCCGGAGCCTTGCGGGAGGTCCAGGCACGGCAAGCCCAGTTCGGACGGATGCGGCAAGACCTCCAGGAGCTCATGCTCAATGAATTGCAGGGCAGGTTTTTTTTTGTTTTTGCGCCGAGGGTTGCATCGAGGTTTTTGTTCTGTGAAGGGGTTCATGGTTGATGAGCGTTGGGAAATCTCGGACCTCTCAGCAAAAAGGCCCCAGATCATCAAGGTGTAAACCAGAACCCGCACCGCGAAGCCTTCACCTTCTGCCAAGAAACCACCAGACGCCAGGATCAAGTGGCCAAGCTTCGGAAAGAGGCAGACCGATGGTGTTCTGAAGTCTTCGAAGTTCTGTTCCAGGATGTGTAAAGTTGAGAGGCATGCAGCGACATGCGGGTCTGGAGGAGTTTACGGTTTGTTCACTTCGGTATGTACGCGATAATGCATGGTTGGGGGATGGCCGCTGGGCTCCTTGTCAGATTTCATCAGATTGATCTCGTTCAGCTTCTCCAAAGCCCCGCAACTTTTCCCGGTCCGCCCAACTATATCTGAAGCAAAACCCTTGCAGTCCCAAGTCCACCTCAGTATCCAAAAGCCTCTGAACGCCACATCACCCTTGTGCCAGCTCAGCGGCGCTGCTCGCACCCGCACTACGCATGACGGTGTGGGGCTCAACTTCACCCGTGCTCCGATCGAGCCCAGTTTCTACCACTGGTAGTGAAATCTCGGGTAGGAGGTCTTTCTTCCCATGCTGCATGGGCATGACGCAAGCGGGGAACCCTGAACCCCAAACCCGAATTGAAGCACATTCAGCCCTAAACCCCAAAGCCCGAGCAGTCTACACCAAAAGCCAAAACCTGGAACCCCCCGCAGGTGCGGAGCCCGGCATGGAGCCGGGCGGCATGCAGGAGCAGCTGCGGCAGCTGGAGCTGCTGCGGCACCGTGAGCTGCAGCACCTGCGCTTGCAGGCTGGGCCGATGAGGGCTCGCAGGGAGAAGTGAGCTTCGGCGTGTAAGTCATGAACTTCTGTCTATATATTGTAAATATGTAGAATATATATATATATATATATATCTACATATATATATATATGTGTATCAGATAAGGCCAGCTCTTTAACCCTAAGCTTTCGAAGGGCCCATGCAATCGCAAGGGCGACTGTAATGCAGGGAATTTGGGACTCGCCCCCTTCTTGCTGGTCAGCGTGTGAAGGCTCTAGACCCTCCATCCCCTATTTCGTTTCCAGAAAGGACGAAGTACTGAAAGCAAACGCTCTGCTGGCGCTTCCTTGACCCGAAAATCTCTGAGCGCTGCCGACACTATCATTTGAGGGCTGGGATGCTCCAATGCAGGAGGAGCAGCTCGAGTCCTTGCAGTATGGAGAGGCGGGGGGAGGGGGGGGCAGGTCGGATCGGCCTCCACGCGAGTTCATACCAAAGAAACGCTGTGGGTCCCTTTTCCTTCCCACCCAGAGGAGCAGGCCATTCTTGGCACCTCCGTGCCTCCGGCGCCCCTGGTAACGGGCTCAGAGAGGGTTACCACATGGCTTCGGGGATTCCAGGTGTAGAGTTGACATTCTCGAAGCCCCCTTACTTACCTTAGTGCTCTGGGTGCTTGGTTTGAGAGATTTGGGGCCACCTGAAACCCAGAGTTCTGCAGCCCTAGGAGGAAGGAGACTAAACCCAAGGATGCCGGAAGCATCCGAGGATGAAAGCCCCAAGCTTCCCCCTCAACCTTAAAAGCCTCGAGCCCAAACACCTGAAATAACGCTCCCTAAACGTTGAACCCGAACATCCACCTGCAACACCAACCTCTAGAAAGATCTGATCCGAGGTGGACCCCGGCCGGCTGGAGGTCAGCCCGCCCCGGAGGACCAAACCCGAAACCCGGAACGCTGGAAAACCCGAAGCTTTGAACCCTGCACTCAAACGCCCGAAACGGCCCGAAACTCTTGAACCCCGAACGCAAGCCTTGTTGTTGGAGTTTGATTGCTGCATGACTGCATGAAAGCGGGGTTGCCTCCCCAGTCCCACCAAAACCTAGAAATCCACGGAACGATCCCTGACGTTTGCTACTTTGGACCTTAAGCTCCCGATGATGCAGAGCAGGAGCTCTGGGCCGGGTCGCAGGTCGGACTTGCGAGAGGCGCTGTTGTCGGGGAGGATTCGGGGCTCTGAACATTGGGGCTGCCTCGAACCGGCATGCCCTGAACCGGAAGCCTTTCAAGCCTGTGGTCGTCGCTGGCTCCCTAAAGCCCGGAGGTGATGGCGCCCTCCTCCGTGTTGGCCCACTGGCCACGGGATCTGGAGGTGCTGGGCTCGAAGGGAAACAGGCTTCGGGATGCTCGGGGTGTGTTGGAGTCGACAGGCGGGGCACGCAAAAAAAAAGTCTTGGAAGCCTTTCGCGAGGCGAGCCTGAGCTCCCAGTTCACGGAAGACACGCACCTCGGATGCATCTCGTGGAGGGTAAGTGTAGAACCGGTGTCGTCCCATCGCAGCCGCCAACTTCGGCTACCTTTGCCCCCCTTTGAAAGCCTCGCTTTAAGAGGACCCCGCTGCCCTTTCTCCCAGGACGCCGCAGATCAGGGATCTTGATCCTTCAGGTGGGTGGGCTTGGGGTTCAGGTTCAGAGTCCGGAGGCTTCTTGACCTATACGGGCTGCCGGTTCGGGATTGAGGAAACTGTTCAACGGTTTGGGAAGAAGCCCCCATACCCTAAACCCCAAACCCAAATCTCCTCGCCCCCCAAAACAGGGCAACAACCTGCCCCACAAGCACCGAAGGCCTCATACTCCTTAAATCTTCTCAGAGCACTCCGAACCTCCTACCCCCTTTTCCCAATCCCTAAACTTTCTTCAGCCCAATTCCTAACCGGACAAGTCCGAAGTTTAAGACCCGGGTCTAAACCCGAACTGTCCAAGCCCCTGAGCCAAAGCCCCGAAGCCCGCCAACCCTTTCGCCAAGCAGGCGATGAGTCCCCACCGCGGCCGGCCCGATCCAGGTCTGTCCTGGGGCCAATTTTATCGCTCTTTTGGTTGGCTTAGGGCCTCACGGGTTTAGAGGGCTTTGAGGGTTTTGCGGGGCCCCAGCACCAGGTTGGCGGCGCGCCAGCGCCTTCCGCGCGGGGACTTCGAGGCTGAAGGATGAGGGTTTCGGTGGGGGTTGTGATAGCATGGCAAGTTCAGCGCCTTTAGGTTAGACGATAAATGCTCAATTAGTGCATGCGATTTCATGCGGGGGGTCAGGCTTCAGGGTTGTCGGGGTTTGGGCGGATTTGAGGACCTGGAGTTCAGAATCCTGGTTTGCCGGCCCGAGCTCCAGGTTGCGAGGGGTTCTCGAGACGGCAGGGGTAGTACTTGGGCCTGAGAAGATGCATAAACCCTCAGCAACCTTCTAGAAGCCCGAGGCATAGGCCTACAAACCCTATGAACCTAGCAATCGCCACGTAGCTTTGCAACTCCTCAGAGCCATATAAGCTTGGTCAACTTCAAATGACAACAAGCTCAGTGCTTCAATCGAGACATTTCCTACGTGTGAGGCGCGGATCGCGCGGCTGTCGGACAGCGTCGAAACATCGCTCCGGCGGCTCTCCGAGGCATCTTGGGTTTAGGGCCTAGAGGGTCTTGGGGATATCTTCGGGGGGAAGAAATGGAAGCGACTTCGACCGAGAGGCGGGCAGCTGCCCTGAGCAGCGCTTCGGTTGAAAGTCGGTCTGCCCTGCCACAGCACTTGAGAAGCAGGAACCACAAGAAGGGAAGATCGCAGTCCCAGAATTTGCCTCAGGAGGAAGACCTTCGAGCTTGAGGAGCTGACCAGGCACGAGGAGCTGAAGTCTGAACAAGCAGCTTGCTGGCATGTGACATGTGGCCATGTGGCCGGTTGAGCCCCTGAGCCCCAAACTGGAAGAACATGTAGGATTGCGAGCAAGCTCGGGTGATCTCAAGAGCCAAGGCACCCCGAGGAGGACGACCATCTGAGGCCATGCCCTGGCCGCGGAGCGAGAATCAGGTTCATGCAGCGTCATGAAAGCATGACAGGGAGGTGCCTTGCGGCTTCCTCGGTTCAAGGAGGCATCTCCTGCAAGCTGGCGGCACAAGGCCTCCGCTGCGCGTGTGCCCCAGCAATCGCAACGAAGCAGGATCCTTGTGGTTGGACCTCTGGGGTCTGCTGGACAAAATGGAGATAAAGGGCATCGGCTGCAATCAAGGGCCGATGCAAAGACTGAAAGCACCTGACAGCCTTAACGTTGTTGCAGTGTGCAGTTTTCATCACCGCAGTTCGCCCCAACACTGGCGCAGAGCACTAAGACCTTTAGCATCACCAGGGGCCACCGCACCATCACTGGACGTGTTGGACTTCACCATCCAGCGCTGCCGCGTGACAATCTCTGCACAGCAGCATCGGAGGCTGTCAGGGCTTCGCTTGGAGCTGAAGCGCTTCCAGTTGGCGAGGTGCGATGACCGAGAGAACAAAAGTCCGCATGCTACTTGGATCCTTGCTAAGAAGAACCCCAATAAAGTGCCCCTACTTTTCGGAAACCCTCCCATGTGAAGACTGTCTGGTCGATATCTTCGAGTAGATCTGTGCGCGAAGAGGTCGTAGGCAAGCTGAGAGTCTTAGCTTGGCTGGAGCAGGTGTGGGTCATGGATGGCAAATCCGCGTAGATGATTCAAGATCGGGACAGGTCTCAAAAGCCAACACTTTTGGCGATTTTCGAATACCTTTTGATTCGTGAGATTTGGCAGTATTGATGTTGTTTTCGCTCTCGCCCTGGGACGTCTTCAAGTCTCGGGTTCTTGTGAGTTCAGACCTCGCAGCTTCGGCGCGGTACCTGGCAAGGGGAGCACCCATGATACCTCACCTCATTGGTTTGTTGGGGGGGGGGGGGGAGGGCCGGGGGCCGTGTATGGGACCATCGCATGAGTTTCATGCTGCTTGAGGCAGTGGGGAAGGCATGGGCTTGTTGAATGTGCCTCAGGCTTGTGCCCTCCCAAACTCGAACTGAGTCGAAAGTTTAAGGCAATGCGATGAAGCATTGAAAGGTTCGCCCTGCGAATGCATTTCTGGACCTGTGGTGTCATGCTTGCCACCGAGTGCTTGGGTGAGTGCATGACTGAATAGGCTTTATGACGCAGCGCTCGCTTGCTCAAGAAGGCAGCCGAAGCCCTGTTGCTAAGAAGCACTCGTTCGAAGCGCGCCATGCCGATTCAGGAGCAAAGCGTGCAGCTTTTCTGTGGCTCACTGCTTCCTCCCTGCGCCTGCGTCATCCTCGCAATGGCCGGCTCCGCGGCTCAAAATGGGTGCAGGGGGGTAGGTGTTGGGAGAGGGTTGAAGGTGTAAGGGGCTTTTTGGGTGTATAGGCTGTTCTGAGATGCAAGCTTGTCGGGACTTAGGGTTTGGCGCTTGACGGTTTTGAGTCGGGTGTGTGAGTCGCATCTCGTTTCTCTGGGTCCAGTCTGGAGCCCTAGAATCCTAGAACCCTCTGCAAAATATCCGGGGGCCTCAGTTCAGGTGATCAAAGACCTTAGATCCCAATTTCAGGGGTGTTTGAGGGCCGTGTAAGGTTTTAGGGCCTTCGCTAAGTACCTGTGTCTGTCTTACACGTTGACAGTTCTAGACAATTTAAGTTGCGCAGTTAGAGACTTTGAGCACTAGGAACATCAAGAAGTTTAGAAGGCTATTTACCACGACAGACCACGACTAACTGCTTTTTCTCCGCCCGTGCAATTTTGCCCCACCTCCTCACCAGAAATCATCCCTAGACCTGTAGTAGACACCCTAAACCTTAAAACCTAAACCCAGACACTTCTGGCATCTTCTGTCAGTGATTTATCCAGAAGAGTTCACATGAGTTGCCTGAACGAAACATTTCTTGTGACATGAAATACGATATGCAATGAAGAGCAAATGTTTTTTGCTGGTGGGATCTGAGGGCCCCTGCAAGCTCAGACGAACATCGTAGCGTGATGTCGATCCCCAAATCTCCAACCCTACAACCTACACCCTAAAAAACAGAAGCCCTAGCCCCTAACCTCCAAAGCTTGATTTCCAAATCTGAAACCCCAAATCCTAGGCCCCAAACTCCAAACCATAAACTCCAAACCCAACGCCCTGAACGACTGTGTCATCTACGAGGGTTCCTGTGCCATCTGATGTGCATGCTTGTAGACGGTTTTTTTTATGCGTACATGTCGCTGACATCCAACCCCCTGGCCCACAGTCCCAGAAGCATTGGACGGTGAGATTGGGTGATTGGGCGTAAGTGAGATTGCATGGGGCATTTGTGAACATCGGGAGTATACACATGTATACTGATCACTCCTTAAATCCTCCAGACCATAGTCCCAGAACCACGGGGATGCGTTTTGAAGTGCGTTATCCTTTAGGTTCCGTTTTGCACAGGTTTCCCACATAATTCCAAACCTTATCTCCCAATCCATTGGCCATAGACCCAGTCCAAAGAACGCCGCTTTTGCTTCACCTCATCTCAACCCAAGAATCTGTAGGCCCCGGACCCTGAAGGTGGCCTTCGGCACGACTTCACCACGTTTCCCCGTGGTGGTTCAGGTTGGTCCAGGCCTGGATGCTCTTTTCGAAGGCTGTGGCGAATCTTTGGTGGTCCCAACTATCTCCCACTCACATTTCGTTAAACTAGGCACAGCCTTGAGGGGCAAGGAGGAACAGTCCCAATAGCAGCATGGAAGATTTCCGAAGCAAATTATGACTCACCGGCTCAATAACTTGGCAGGCCCGGCCAGCTACAACTTGACAAGGCTGCTCCGACACACTGGTGCTTAGTGACACTAGGACGCTTCAGTGGTTGCACCTTCTGCACAGCTCTGTCTTGCACATGCAAGGTGCACGACCCTCGCATCATTTGCGCACACACACATGCTTTTCAGAGCGTTATCGATGACTGCTTCTGTACTCTCCCACATCAGTCCTGGCCAGCACGCAATTTGTTTGCTGGAGGCTTTTCGATCCTCCGAAGAAGCTGGTGCTACCCTTCCGCAACGCTTCTTCTGGGGCTGGAAGTCTTGCCATGACTACACCCAAAGTCCTCATCATCCTTATTGTTATGAGAGGTCGTCGACATGCAAGCCCCGGCTACCTACAACTAGGAGAAGCCGAGAGAATAATGTAGGAACGCGGGTCCCGTATACCTAGGCAAGGAGGTGCACGGCATCCCGAACCCTCCCAGCTCTCACGCTAAAGCTTCCACGGCTGGTTCCAAAGCCACGGCGCCGAAAGAGATGTAGGAAAGCCGGGCCCACATGCGTACTACTGAGGCGCCAAAGCCAAAGCGCTCACTGCTGCCAGACTTCTTCCAGGACGGGAGGGGGGGGGGGGGGCAATGTGGCGTAGCCATCAAACTCTTTACTCCTAACATCAGAACCCCACAGTCACATAGTCCATAATATCGCGACACTGTTTGCAGAATGAATTGACTCAGAAATTGCAATTTCAGCATGTGAACAAGTAAGTGGGTATGTCCTGACATTTCAGGATTTTCCCAAAGGTGCACTTGTGTTGTCCCCAAAGGCGCAGGTGGCGAAGCAAACGTTGGTTCTGAAGCCAGTACGTGCCAGAGTCTGCCAGAGCAAGGGTTCAATCTGGGTCCGGTTCGAAGCAACACACTGCGTTCCTTCCTGACATGGCGACTTGCCACATGTTTTCGATCTCTTGACACTGCTGACTGTTCTGGTCTTTAAATCCCAAGATATGCCCTGTCATGATATTCATTAGTTAGATTTCATGGGTTTCATGTTGTTTCCTGATGGGAATTTTCGAGGGGGCCCCCCCACGTTTTGATGAATGCGACTCCCCAATATCCGATGAAAGGAGCCCGTCGGCAAGAAGGTTCCTGACACCGCCGGGGCCTCCGGGGATGCTAATGCAAGCCCCCAACCCCCCTTTTCCAATCAAGCAGGAGGTGACCTCACACAGGCCCGTAATAGGCCCCCCCCCATCAATTCAGGGCTTCCCCTTCAATGTGAAATTGTAAACGACGCTGTGGTCGTGTTGGCTCTGAAGGTTATAGAAGGATCGCCGAGAAGTCTGCAATTTTTAGTAAATTTAAAGGAAGTATAAATGTTGGGGGATACTGAGCTGAGCCTCCGAATAGTGTGTAAGATCCTCGGGCTTCATATGCATTGCAAGATGCCGAAGGCGAGGTGGCTGCAACTGTCCTGGTGCATAAATAAAGGCGCAGTGCGGCAGTTGACGTGAAGTTGTGCATGCTACTGCAGGATTTGACTACAGACGCAGGAAATGGGCATATTTCAAAATTAGGTGTTTGTAACTGCACTAAGCTCACACGCGGGCTCCTCGAAGCCGTGAATCAGTTGGATAATGAAGTCGTTTGCTGTCGATTTGTTTTGTCGCAAATCTCTGTGAAGCGTTGCGCACCTCCTCCGATTTCCCACGGAATAAATACATTCCAGGCTCCATTCTAAAGGCCCTTCAACGAGCGACCCATAACACAGAGAAGTGCCCTGTGAAGGGTTCTTGCGTTTTGCACTGTGATGCTCAGTCCCAAGGCTCCAAACTGTGGTGGTGGAGGAGGACGCTTGCCTCAAGCCTTTAGTGTGGGATGATCACCGATGATCGCCGATGCAACCTTGATTCGGGCTTGAATAAACAATGGCAAGAGAAAAACCAAGTCGGGTCACAATGGACCATGGACTGAAGTAATGTGTTGAGCTGCGAAGGTGGTGACAAAATCATGCTGGGGACGTTCGAGAATCGTGCTTTGCTGCCTGATTCTGAACTGCCTGGTTCAGATCCTTTCCAGCTGCGATGCCATCATTCTGTTCTTGGTAAAGGCGGAGCAGAATTGCACGGTTGAATCTCGGCATCCAAGCCGACATGTAGATCCGGCTCAGTCGGACTCAGCAAAACTTCGGCTTCCAAGGAGCAGACCGCTGGTGAAGCTCACGACTACGAGGCTCTTGGGGAATGATGGGGACGTCGACGCGGGGTGATCGGGGGTATAGGATTGAGACTTGGGCTTTCTTTATCTTGTTGCCAGGACGTCCTGGACGCCTCCTGGGTCGACAACTGCCACACTTACACAACGCTTGCGGCCCAGACTTCTGGATTGTGGACACGGCTAGACCTGAGACAATGCTGCAAGCCCCACACATTGACTTCTGGGCATGCATCCAAGGCTGCTGCCGTCCCTCCCCCGCGATCTGATGGTTCTGGGTGTTTCACAAAACTGTGTCCCTTTCGAGGCCATTTGGATGGGCTCCATTCCTTGGACAAGAACTGTTATCCGCGTACGTGAAAATGGAGGTTTGGTGCATTCTCGGGATGACAGTTCGAAGACTTGGCCCGAATTGGCTTTGGGATCCTGCAGGTTTTCACCGTTACTGTTCTTGCTGTGCTAGACCTGCTAGGCTTCTTGGAGCCAGCTTCTGAAGGTTCTGACTCCAGGGTGGTGTGGTTCATGCGGTACGCTCTTGGGAGTTTCCCAAGTTTGAGCAACTTGGAGTTGAACGTGGCAGGTGCATATGAAACAAAGACGTAGGGGGAAAACTGCATGTATCACCCACTCTGAAGTATTGAAAACTTAGAATCGAAATGCTGGCAATGTGCGTGCTGGAAGGTTTTGGGGCTTAGGGCCTTAGGGGTTGTGGGGAAAGGGCTCTTGGACTTGTGTTGCTGGCGTAAAGATAGCCAGCAACCTAAAGATAGCAGGGGTGTCGTGGTTTAGGCTTTTGACGGCTTTGGGGTGTAGGGTTCAGGGCTTCAGCATAGGATGATTCCTGACAGGCTACGCAGAGGCTCCTTGTGTATGCGTCGGCCTTTACACAAGTGCAACAAATCAACAGCCTTTTGGGAACCCCAGCTGGCACCATGTGTCACGTTTATATGTCGTCTCCCCATTCTTGGAGGTAATCAAGACCCCCTTAATTTTTCAATCCAAGAGAATCCTAAACCCCGCGGGGCTGGCCTCCAAAGAACCTTCATCAGATACCGGAGATAGATTACAGGATCAGTGTATCAGCCAGCAAGCACAAGGCTGATTCGATGAAGCGGGAGATGTGGGAGACGCACGTCTGCTCTTTGAGCCCTGTAGAAAACCCTGATAATCATGGAGCATGCCTAACTTACTCCTGCAGTTGGAACCCAAAGAATGCCAAGCCCTACACCATGTCGCTTGTGGGATTTTGGGGTGGAGATTTCCGGCGGGGCTCTGATCCGGGTTCCCGGTGACCTAGAAACCCTGAGCCCTGAACCTTGGTTCTTGCGGTAGTTACTCCCTACAGCTGAGGAGTCTCTTCAGGCCCACCCACTGAAGCCCCACACCCTACGAAGCCTGCAAACCCTCAAGCCCGAGCCGGAAAAGCCCTCAGCCCAAAGTCCTTTTTGGATCCTTGGGCCTTGGGAAACCTCTTGAAGGCTTTTGAAGCACTGTACATCCCTTATGAATGCTTTTCAGCTTGTGGTCGTGGCTTGGACAACCCAGATTACCATGGTCTCGGGCGAGTCGGGCTTGAGCTGAACAGTGCGAGCATCATTGCATTCAGCATCACTTCAGTATCAAGAGTTCAGGTCTTGAGGGTCTGTGGCCACCAAGCTCATATACAGACCTCAATGAGCCCAGGCAGAGCATGCAAACATGTCGCGCAAGTTCAAGGAAACGCGCTTGCTCTCCAATGCATGGCTGGGCGAAATCTCTCGCGCCGCGCGTTGGCGGCCAATGCATTCCGGGCATGTTGTCCACATTGATGAATGCCAGCCTTGATGTTGTTTTTGTCAGAAAGCGTGTCAGTGTAGTTGCGGGGTTTCGGCTTAATATCAACCGGGGTTTCAATGCCAAAGGTGCTTTTGTAGGATTCCAAGCAAGACCCCTCACAACCCCTTCGCCGCTTTGAGGGCCCAAGTTCCAGACACCCCATTTCATCCTGAGTCTTCTTGCTGCTTCCTTGGCATGAGGGTGCTTCCGCTTGCCGACCCAACGGCGACTTGACAAAACCGCCTACGCTCGCCAAAAATGAGAGGAGGCAGGCTTCAAGGTAATCCCTGTGTAAATCCTACTGTAGGCCCTGAACATGCGTGAGTCTTAAACCCAAAGTTGCATCCGATGTCGCCAGGTCTACATCTCCGAGGTGGCCTTCCATGATGTCGAGAATCCGCTGTGCCTTTACCCTCAAACCGCACGAGTCAGGAGAAAATAGAGTTTAACTACCCCAACTGGAACGACCCTGCCCCGTTTTGCAATGGAGAAAATACTTGCCATGCCATTCAGGACAGACGTAGGGCTCTAAAGGTTTTGTTGCACTGGCCTTGCAATCTTGACTTCCTTGTTTCGGCGCTCGCGAACAGCAAGCCCTGAAATTGAAAGCCCGCGGAGAAGTTTGCGGGCTCAGGGGCGGGACCATGCCGCCATCGCCAGGATCGTAGCGGCAGGCAAGGGTTACCTGCTGTATGCATTGCGGGGGTGGGCCTGGCTTCTTCTTCTTCTTCGTTGACTTTAAGACTGGCTTCTGTCTCGATGCTTTCTGGATCTTTCTGGAGGATCACCTATCAACCAAGCTTTCGCAGCCGATATCACCCTTCAAAGAAGAAACGGCCAGGTACACATCCCGGTGTGATCGTGGGCAACGAGTTCGTGGATGCGGTTTACAACCGCTCAGGCGAGGCTCAGGATTTCAGATAGGAACCAGGGTTCAAGTTTCAATCGTGTTCTGGTTTGCAGCCCGGCTTCAGGGTCTCCCCGGTATAGGTCGAGGGCTTGCTATGCAGCGTTGAACTTTAAGCCCTATTCCACGGCAGCTGCCGAACCCCCCCCGCCCCCGGAATACAAGTGGGTACCAACCAGCTCCTGGAGATATCGCAAATCAAACGATAGGAGTTTGCAACGTCAGGGGCTCAACACCGAGGCCTTACATTGGCTTCGGCTGAAGCTTCACATGTGGAGGTGGACGGGCCTCCAGGGATTGCAGGACTTAAGGGTTTCTACATCCTATGCGTCGAAGATGGTGGAATGCCCCAGACATACCTACATGGCAAGCGTAGTTTTCAAATTGAGGGCGGAGGGTTGACTTGGATATTTCTAAGTTAGGCCGATTTAGACCATGGTCGAAAGTCATGGGGACCTCACATAAGATCCCTGGAGGCAGGGCATCCAAAGTGCAGAGGGCTCATTTGGCACGCAACTCCTCCCTCCTAGCAACTTGGGCCCGCAAGTCTCCATCAAGCTCAGCAGCGTAGGAGAGGCCCCGTTGCTTTGCGCCCTGTTCAGGGTTGAAGGCCCTGGCTGCAGACTGAGCCCTCGCGCTTTGAGCGCCACATCCACACGACTCGCGCCGCGCGAACCGGTTGCTTCTGGCTCAGCGTCGAAGCGTCCCGTCGTAGGCGCCACATGAGCCCAGATCCACAGAGAGGGTTAGCAAGGTTTGGCCACTTCGGCCTTCAACGCGTCAAAGTTGAACCCTGAGCCCATGGCGTGTGTGTTAGCGATACTCGCGCAGAAGCCGCCCTGAGTGCCGAGCCATGAACCTCCCGACCCTCCAGAAAACCCGTGGCCCCAAGGAGAGCGCCATCAGAGTGTAGAGCTTACGGTTTGCGGGGCGTTCCCCCCAGACTTGTAGCCAATCCCCAAAAGCCCACTCTTCAAAAGCTTCCTGGAGCCCGCAAAGCGGACCTTCCGATGCGAAGCTGAGGCCGAAGGGACTCTTCATGAAGGGGTTTGCATGGGCAGAGCTCTCCTGCGTCCCAGTTGGGAAAGCTGTTCCCTCATTGGGGTGGAGCTTTTTTAGGGGTTGTGGGTTGACAAGTTGTCCTCAACTCTAGCTCCTGCGGCCGGCTTCAGGTCCATGGCCTGGCGATGGCCGAACTCAGCAGGCACATGAGCTTTGAAGAACCCTAAACCCAGCTTTGCTACCAAACTCGGAACTTCCTTTTTAGGGGGGTCCGGGCTTAGGCTCCAGACGCCAACACTCCGGAAGCTGAAGAAAACATGGTCAAAGAAGCCCTATAAACCCAAACCCATCTAAGCCCATCTAAACCCTAAACTTAAACCCTAAAACCGCAAAAAGGACTCTGCACCAAATCGAGCCTTGGCGGGGGATGTCGGAGGCTAGTGCCCAGCGTCGAGGGATGCCAGGAAGCCCCTGAACCTCCTGAATCCGACTACCAACCACCCAAACCAGCTGCCTTCTGTGCAAGTCTTTGCAAGTGCCTTGAACTCCTTCTGTGCAGAGGGCAGACTTCGACAAGACCCTCAGCCGGCCCAAGTTGCCTGGCAGAAGAAGCTCCACTCAGAGAGGGACGTGGGGGCAAATCGTAGCTTCGTAGCTTAGGGTTTCAGGGTCCAAGGTTTGCGGTTTCTTCAGTTCTTTGTTTGCACTTGGGATTGATGCAGAATCGCGCGAAGACGAGATCGCTTTCACGAACACCACTACATCAGTTGAGAATTCTAAACCGATGAGACAACCGGCTGCGTGCCGTGTGTGGCTGATGATCATGCCCTGGCCCTAGGGCCCTAGGAGTGCATGAGAATGGGCATGGGCAGCTACGACAGCTACGAAGCCTTTGCCACACCAAAACATGCCATCCCACATAAAGTCGACCAAATGCGCCCTGGGGGCACTTAGACGAGCAGGATGCCTTGTGAGACTCTTCGTGGGCACAGGCTGGATGCAACGGTGGTCCTCGATGCATCCAAGGAGGCATGGACAGGGCGCCAGGTAGGATGGCTGGAGAGGGAGTTCGTTGAAACAACACTGACGGAGTGGCTTCGCCGAGGTTGTTTTGGGGCTGGTGCTGAGCTTCCACTTTGGAGGGTTATGTTGGACATACGGAACAAACACGGATTTGTGCGTGCCTAGAGTTTGCTGGGGCGTTTTCCTCCTAGCCACAGCAGATGACAACCGGCTTTTGAGGGGTCGAACTTCAGCAAACTGTCCGATGGCCGTGACGCCTAGGACCAGGAGGGAGCTCCCAAGAGACCGTCCGGCGCCCGCTTTTGAGGTTAGGGCGGGGTCCACCTTCATCCGAAAGGCCCCCACCCGGACCTACAGCCATCATCCCCCAAAAGTCCTTTCAGGGGTTCAGGTCGGGGTCCGCGCACCCACCAATAAACCCTCAACCCTAAACCCTGAGCCCCCGGAAAGCTCCAAATGTGCGCGGCGCCTCATGCCTGTGGCTGGGCTATGAGAGGGCTCAGAGTGACATTGTGGTCGTGG